AAATAGTTTACAAACTTTGTAATATGCACATAAAAAATAATATTCTAACAAAACTCTCTAGGAAGAAACACACCTTCTTGTTGTGAAACCTTGGGCTATAAGTTTACACATAATTTTTACAACCTTACCAATCTTATCAAGCTTCTTGTTAGATATCCATGATTGCAGCTCCTTTGCCTGGTACTGGATTTTCATACTTTTGATTCTTTCAGCATTGTTCAACAAATCTTGCACAGCTAGAATCCATCATTCATCGCTTAATGTTTCTTCATGACTGTCTAGTTCAACTAGCATGGATGTGTCATTATCTGTTTATTGCTAGCCATCCACAGAAAGTTCTCCATCCTTATTCACAATTTGCTTAGAAAAGTATTAGTGTAAAGAAAACGCACATGTTGAGATTTCTCTACAATTAATATTCTGAATTTCACAAAATCGTAAGTAGTAATGAATAAGGAGTATGCCAAGAGCCCTACCAAGACAGTTGCAACCAAAGGGAATAAGATAACTAAAAATTAATTTTTCTTCCTTCCTATAGCTCAGATAGAATTTTATTCAAGATAATATCCAATAAAAAATTATTAAAGCACATATAAGCCAATGATAACAATTGATACAAAAATGATGCTTTCTTTTCAATTCTGCATTCAATTCAGGCGCCAAACTAAATATGCGATAAATCATTTATGATGGAAAAAGAAAATGTCGAACAAATACTATAACTCACATCTATGATCAAATGCATCATTTTCTTATTAAGGAATATAACCTAGGCAAAAACATCAATAGAAACATACACATGTACCTTCTAAACTTTTGAGTCATAGGAATGGTCAAGTATATCCACATGTGCATAAGTTATTGGCCTTAAGGTTAAACAACCTTCTTGAATTTGAAAGAAGTATTGATACTCTCACCAAGAGAATGGATATCAGAAGTAATTCTCAAAATGAATTCTTAAGCACATGACGACGTAAAGTGTATGTATGCTTGCTTATCCTAATGTTAATACACATGACATGGTTCATGCAAGATATGCATTCGTGCTATTTAAAATCTCTAAGTCAAGGATAAAAATAATACCAAACAGAATTATTGAATAATGCAGCTAGTCGACTCAAGCAATATATACTTGTCATATTGCACTTAAAAAAATAACTAGATACGCATCACCTTATAATTCATTAAAAGAAATTTGGATAAACTTAAATGATATCAGTCACTCAAGTTTTACCAGCACGTGTAATGGTTCCTTCATACTCTATAGAGTATGTGTAAACTTTGAAGCATTTTTAAGCAAGTTCCTGGATCAGCCGTTATGCAAACATCATTTATCCCTTTTTATGGCTGGACTTAGAATTCCTGCAAAATAAATTAATTTATTTTTGGTACCCAAGTCTTTTTGGAAATGCATATATGTGTTTAACTCTCCAAACATATTTTGATCTAACATAACTTTTTGCATAATTGCATGCAAATACTTTATGTCCAAAATTACCACAATAGTGGCATATAATATGAGAAGAAGAGTGTTTACCTGTAGCTGCCTTATTAGTTAATTTGAAACTTTCCTCAGTCAACTTGTTTAAGGTAGGATGTTTACCAGTAGATCCCTTTTCAGTTGACTTATAGTTGTTAAGCCAAGGAGACGACTTTGATCGATCAAAGTAGTGTATGGGGGATTTGTGCAAGTTGCTTATTTGTTTGTGAAGCTCAGAATTTTCTTCTTGAAGTAAGTTGTTTTCCACCAGATATTCTTCAAACTGAATATCCCTGTCTTCCTTTTCATTTCTCAACTTGTTATATTCTTCAAGTTGGATCTCCCAATCGTTCTTCTCATGTATCAACTTGTTATATTCTTCAAGTTGGATCTTCCTGTTCTTCTTTTCTTTCCTCAGCTTATTATATTCATTGAGAACTTTCTCAAGGTCGTTGAGAACTAATTCAATATTTTTCTATAATTCATCACATTTATCGCACTACGTAATAGGAGTAGGACATACCCTGTCAATTTCTCGCATTGCCATGAAACATAGGTTCTCAATTCTTTCGTGATCGTTTTCTTCTTCAGATTCATCCTCGTCGCTCCAAGATTTGAGATCACAATCCATAATAGCATTAAGGCACACCTTGTCAGTTTCTCCTCTTTCCTTGAGAGATATGTTTGTCATTTCTTCTTGATCATCCTCGTCGCTCCAAGTTGAGATTCTATGATTCTTCTTCTTAAAGTTTGGACATTTTAATTTCATATGTCCAGGTTTACCATATTCGTAGCAGCATATGTTCTCTTATTGTTAATCCTCATTCTTGTGGTTCTTTTGATGATTCTGGATGGATTGAAATTTTCTATTTTGCTTCTTTATACTCTTCTTTTTTCTCATCCTGGATATCACAGCCAAATCTTCTCGATCTTCATTATTTTCAGATTCTTCATGAGTTAACTTGGATTTAATTTCCTTAACTTTGTTGGTGTCCCCGTGAATATTTTACCATCTGTCCCATATAGCTTTAGCAGTCTCACATGTGGATATTTTCTTATATGTTTCTTCACTAATCTCACAATAGAGCATGTTGATTGCTCTAGTGTTTGTTTGCATAATATCTAACTATTCTTTTGTGTAGTCAAATATGGACGCCCCTTTTACAAGCTTCTTTCCATCACTGTTGTTCAGAATAGGTCTTGGTCCATTCTGAATAACTAGCCATGCTCGATAATCTATTGATTGAACATAAACCTTCATTCTTTCTTTTCAATGGCTATAGTAATGACTATTGAAGTACGGTGGCCTTCTTGTTGAGTATCCCTTTTGAAATGTGGTTCCAGTAATTTGATGACCTGCCATGGATCTTTTCTCACTTGTTGTTAAGTAAAAAAATAAAGATGTGAGACCTGCTCTGATACCAATTGAAAGTACAAGAAGGGGGGAGGGTGAATTATAGCCTTTTTAAATTTCTAGTCGACTACTCCTCACACCTAGTCAACTAATACAGAGACAGTCTGCACAATACTGTTAGTATCTCGATTCAATCAAATACTAATCTCAACAAATAGTAATTGCTTATAATAAATTATGAAAGCAGTAAGATAAATAACACCACAAATTTTATACTGGTTCGGAACCAATGTGGTATCCTATTTCAGTCTCCTTGGGTTGCAAGGATGTTATCTCTTGATCTCTTTGTAATATGAGTTGTGTACAGCTTGTGTGATTTTCAACGTTCACCACCAACGTTTACAAGGTTGGTTTTTACTCGCTCACTAACAACAAATAAGGGTTAGTTTTAACACGCTCACCAACAACGCAAAAGGTTGGATTTTACTCGCTCACCAACAACGACTCTTTGGTTTTCACTCGCTCACCAAAGTAACGAATAATGACACAATTTCTAAGGACATACTGCCTCTCCAATATTTTTCTGTCTCTCTTCACTCTTTTGTGTACATAGTAAATCGATAAAAAGTGAATTATAATGCTTGTTAAGAGTGGAATAAAGAATTTGTAGTTGGATAGACAATTGTATAGAAGGCTGCGTGATTTTCTTCCTCTATAAATCTTCCTTTTTATAGCCTTTTCAACTTGTTCTAGCTATTGCATAACCCAAGGGATTTTTGAAGATTCTTCCAATCTTCCTGTAGCCATTTTCTGATGCTTCCTTGAATCTTGGACTAATATTTTATTGTAAATCTCTTGACCGTTGCTGACATTGCTCTATAAGGAAGCTTTTGGATATCTTCTATCAATGCAAATTTTCCTTTTGAATTGGACAATTTGAATTTTCAAGCATGATACCAATATCAATTCTTTCCTTGAATAGATCCATGATTAACGTTTCTCTACAACATATAATCTTTATGAATATCTACGTGAGAATAGTCATGATGATTCAATCAAGATCCCTATGATTTACTTTTTCATGATTGTAGTAATTACTCATTCTTGATTGATTCCAATAACTCAATTTCTTGGCCTGATATTTCCATACGTCTAACTTCTCTTTCATTGGAGAATATGGATGCTTCTTTCCATTTTGTGGTAATAATTGAATTTCCATAAGAATAGTAATTTCCATCATGTCCCGTAGTAAGTATTTTGTTGCCCAAATCTTCTTGAACCTAGACCATTTATTTGTGTCTTCCAAAGTATTCCAGTGAGCTTGATGTATAATCTCTTTCCTTAAGTGATTCCTTGACCAGTGTAAAAGATTTGCTCCTTAAGATAAACCATGCTATCTTCTTCCAATAAAATATTTTTTTTTGATAGATCTCAATATATCTTTGACTCCTTTCTTGGTCTTGAAAAATTATCTCTTTCCATAATATAGAATATACTATACCCATAATATATTTTCTTTCCATAAAAAATATATTCTTCCTTGGCCTTGTAGTATCTCTTCCATATAGTATCTTCCTTCCACAAAATAATAGATCTTCTCTATGATTTTAGCAACTTTCCTTTCATGATATTGAAAAACTTTCCTTCCATAATTTCCGTAGATTCTTCTCTGATATTGTAGTAAGTCATTCAATATTTAAAATTTTACTTTCAAATATTATTTCTTCTACGACGCTTGGAGATTAAATCTCTGAAAATAATCTTCCTTGATAAATTCTTCACATGATATTCTCTTTCCCATATTTGTTTGGATCTTTACCAGCATCTTCTTTCTTGAATAAACCTGTGCAAATATAAGATTACCACAAGTAAATGATCTTTGATTAATAATTATGTTAGTTTGTTATCATCAAAATTAACACGTGAAACCTTGAAGCTAACATTCTCTTCTATCAACAGAACTGCCTTGATTTTGTGATTCCATAGTGTTTCTCTTGAAGTTTTGAATTTTATCGAACCTAGGATTTATGCTGCTAAAGGCCTTTGCTTCTTCAGGTGGCGAAGAAGTCTGGTATTCTCGTTCCTTAGCTGATTGCTTTCTTAATTGTGTGATGATATTCGATTAATCTTATTTGAACATCTAGTCATTATTGTTGTTTGGATGATATGGGTAGTCTTGATCCCCCTATGTCTTCCTCATCCTCGTCATCTGCATACATACCTGAACCCTTTTCCCCATTATTCCTTCTCTCTTCTGATGTACCTGGAGTCTCTCTTGTTGCGGTACCATTCTCTGGGAATGGGTTTGGAGGTTGAAAATGTAGTATGATTGTCTCATTGTCTGCTACAAATAAGATTGGATTTACTTATGGGACATGTGTTAAGCCTCCTAAGAATTCTCCTCAGTTTAGACAATGGGATCGTTGTAATAATATGGTCATATCATGGATGACCAGTGATCTCCCCAGATATAGCTGAGAGTGTGCAATATTCAGATACTGCTGAAAGTATATGGAGACAGCTTAATAATAGATATGGGACAGTAAATAGGACTAAAGTTTTTGAATTAAAAAGAGAATTAGCACCCACATACCAGGGATCTCTTGACATTGCTTCCTATTTTAACAAACTTAAGAAAATATGGAATGAGTTGGGGGTTATATGGAGTAGTCATGCCAACTCTTGTGGTTGTGCTGCTAAAGAAGGTTTGCAAAAGGAGAAAGAAGAGGATAAAGTCCATCAGTTTATCATGGGTTTAAATGAGGTCTATGTGAGTGTTAGAAGCAATTTGTTGATGATGCATCCTTTACCATCTCTTGACCGTGTTTATAACATACTTCTACAAGGTGAAAAACAAAGGCAAGTCAGTACAAATCCTTAGTTTCACCCTGAATCTGCTTCCTTCAATGTCAATTCTAATAATGTCAAGTCCACTCAACCTCGGCCACAACAGACACTGTATAATCAAAGGGTGGTCTTTGATCAACCTAAGTCTGGTCTCTTCTGTAAATATTGTAAGAAGTCATGGAACTTGATTGATAAGTATTACAAACTTAATGAATTTCCTCCAAAATTCAAATTCACTATAGGCAGAAAGGCAACTGCAAATGTAGCTGTAGAATCTGACTTCTCTTCTTATCAGAATGTTTCTACCAATTTTATGTCAAATCCCACTTCAAATCAGGTTGATCAAGGATATGTGGTATATGGATTGACACAACAACAATATTCTCAATTGATATCCTTGCTTCAGCAGACTTATGTTTCTGATTCTGGACCTCAATTCAACAGTTTAAGTTTTGCTTATTTTGCTGGTACTTTACTGCCTAAGAATGTTGTGTATAGTTTTAATTCTTCTTTGCTGAGTAAATCAGATTCTTTAACCTGGATAGTTTACTCTGGTGCATCTGACCATATGACATCTGATAAAGACTATCTCATTAACATCACACCTTTACCTATTCCTTTTCTTGTATCTCTTCCAAATGGATACAAGGTTAAAGTTACATGTACATGATCTTTTGTTTTAACTGAGTACATTATCCTTCACAATGTTCTTTATCTGCCTTTATTTAAATATAATCTCGTTTCTGTACACAAAATTACTGAACAATTTGACTGCATAGTTCAGTTTACCAGAATCTCATGTATTATACAGGGTCCTTCTCTGAAAAAGCCTCTGGATCTTGGTAAACTGGATAATGGCTTGTACATGTTTGTTTGGTAACAAACATCTCAACTTCAACACCCTTTGACAAATGTTTCAAACAGCAATAATTTTTCATCTTTGTGTAACTTTAGTTCTTTTCCTTCTTCTGTCCATATAGATTATGCCACCTGTAATAAAGTTGCTATGAATAAAATGTATGTTGTTTGGCATAACAGACTTGCGCATGTTCCTTTTGTTAAAATGAAGAGCATTTGTGAAATCTCCTCCATTATTTCTTCTACACAATCCTTTCCTTGTACAATTTGTCCTATGGCTAGGCAAACTAGACTGCCATTTTCTGAAAGTTTCATTCACACTTCCAAACCTTTCCAACTCGTTCATATTGACACTTGGGGACCATACCATACTCCTACTTATTCTGGTTCTAGATATTTCCTCACAATTATTGATGATTTCTCTATAAGTACTTGGACTCATCTCATGGGGTCTAAAAGTAATGTATTTTCCTTGCTTTAAGCTTTTGTTGCTATGGTAAAGACTCAATTTCATGTTACAGTACAGAACACTAGATCTGATAATGCATTAGGATTAGGCTTTAGTCTTGCTGTTATTTCTTTTAAAACTGAACATGAGATTATTCATCAGACTAGTTGTCCCCATATCGCTCAACAAAATGGTGTGGTGGAAAGAAAACATAGAATATTACTTGAAGCCTCTAGGTCTTTACTGTTTTAGTCCAAAGTTCCTATAAGATTTTGGGGGGATTGTCTATTAAACACTACCTATATTATCAGCAGACTTCCTTCCAGATTACTCAAAAATAATAGCATGTTTGGCCAAGCTGGAGAAATCAGCTTATTTTGAGAAGTATTTTTTTTCAAAAGTGCTTTTGAATAAAGTACTTTTGGAGAGAGGCAGTTTGTGTTTGGCTAATCACTGTGAAAAACACTTTTGAGTAATAATTTGTGTTTGGCCAAACTTTTCAGAAAATGCTTTTAAGTATCAAATTATGAATCAGGACATGAATAGATTTACTTAATAGTTAATTGTCACGACCAAAACTAACCTCTGTCGTGAGGGCGCCTATCGTAGAACTAGGCAAGCTGACTCATTTTCATAACAAACCGATATTTTTATTTCAAAGATAATTTCAAGGTTATTTAACATAAAATCTCCATTTAAAGAGTTCAAATCAAAGAAAAATAGAAGTGCGAAAAAGAAAAGCCCGACATCGGGGTGTCACTAGTCATGAGCATATTCTACAATCTGTCTAACAATATCAAGGCTAACTCAACCCGAAAAATAGCTAAATACAACTAGAGGAAGATAAGAGGGAGAAGAGCAGGGGCTGCGATCGCCAAACAGCTACCTTGCTATCTCCAAGACAATCTGCAACCAGAACACTCAGTAACCGCTACCGTATCCAGCTATACCTGAATTTGCACAAAAAGTACAGGGAGTAACGTGAGTACGCCAACTCAGTAAGTAACAATAATAAATAAAGACTGAGCAGTAGTGACGAGCAATAAAGCATATAACGTTCATATCAGGAAATCTCAGTAAAATACCACATGCTTTTAAAATCAGGATTTGAATCAAACATCTCGTTTAAACCCAGTTCCAGTAAAAATCATTTAAAGATATTTTTCCAACAGTTTTTCAAACGAAGGCTCAATGCAAAAGTGAGCAAAAATGATGAAATCATAAACAGCCCCTCGGGCAAAACATCACTCATATACAGCCCCTCGGGCAAACCTCACAGTCACTCGTGCCACTCGGGCATACCTCACAATCACTCTTGCCACTCGGGCATTCCTCACAATCACTCTTGCCTCCCAGTCACTCAGCACTCGGCACTCGCACTTAGTAGGTACCTGTGCTCACTGGGGGTGTGTACAGACTCCGGAGGGGCTCCTTCAGTCCAAGTGCTATAATCTGTATGGACAACTCACGTGCGATAATAATAAAGTATGCTGCAGGCGGGCAACCCCGATCCACACTCATCCTCACCAATCAGGCCCTCGGCCTCACTCAGTCATAAGTATGCTGCAGACGGGCAGCCCCGATCCACACTCATCCTCACCAATCAGGCCCTCGGCGTCACTCAGTTATAAATATCTCAAGCTACTCGGGTATTTCAGTAAAATAGGGCATTCGGCCCAAAATATTTATATGCATCAAAATAGAGTCATAAAAACTGAGTTATGCGGTAAACAAGTATAAACATGACTGAGTATAGATTTTCAATCGAAAACAATGAGAGGATGGTAAGAAACAGCCCCTAAGGGTCTAGGGTTATAACTCTCGAAACGACCGGCCGGGTCGTTACATCCTCCTCCTCTTAAACATACGTTCGTCCTCGAACGTGCCCAGAGTTGTTCCAAAAGCCATCAAATCACTGTGTATCTTTCACATGCACATACTCGGGGGTGTTCCCACGTCACCCTATCCCATACAGGTCCGATAGCACAGCATGACTGAAATTTCTCAATTCAACCTAGCCCACAAGCCTTCGAATCAAATTTCCAATATCCGAAATTTCCTATAAGATGAGAAGTTTGTATCTACATACCGTATAAGTCTGAACAATCTGTACCAAAAGTTGTAACCATAACTCAAATCCTCAAATTCAAATACCGCATAGCTCGAATGCTCGAAGCAATGATTTCAAATCACAGTATCAACTCAAATCAATCCAGTGCCAGTAATAAACCTCATATCAACCAAACCCTCGTTCTAAAACCTTCGTACAATGCCGATGATGAAAGAAACATACCGAATTCATAACCATTCATTAGATTATCAGGCCATGGAGCTCTCGTTCCTTCTATAAGAACTATAGCCAATTTCAAAGATGACTTCCGATATTATCCTCCTAATTATACCACAATCAAATCTGATAGTATCCATTCTAGGCCCAATGAACTCGTCTCCTCCAACACGACCACTCTAGTGACATGACACATCAATACAATTTAAAGCCACAACTCGTGTAATCCGTGTACCAGATAGCAACATTCTAAATGTACCCAATCGTAATAATGACCCAAACAGGAGAACCGTTCCGCAAGCTCGACGAGTACCACCCCGACGCAATGTTAAGAACCCATCACACACCACAGAACCATAACATACGAATCTTACACGAGGGATCATATTTCCACATAACTCTGCTGCAATACGCGATCCTATCCAAATACTGGTCCATATGAAACACCTCAAGTCACCCTGCTAAAAATCATTAACCATGCGCAATTCGACATCAAGTATCCAAAGTGCATTACCATAACCACAGAGAAGCAAACGACACCATGCCACATAAAACCCGAAAGAACACGACCAATACGTCATTAACTAAATAATATCCAATACTATTCTCGCTCAAATTCCGCTACAAGGCCACAATAGAACCGCACCATATGTGCATATAACCACGAATCCCAACTCCTCGTAGCATAGAAGAGTAACTCACCGATCATTTCAGAGCACGAATAAGCTTCACATCAACCGAATGGCACATCCTTCAACAATAGCAGTATGGAGCCAATCAATCCGGCTCGGTGTAGAATACACATCCTAATTGGGCCTACCAATGGGCCCCGAATCAACTATGGTCAGCCACCAATAGATAAACAACCTCCGAAAGTCCACAATGACGGAATCATAACACCTTCTATCATCTGGCTAGCTCCGTCCACAACTTCACAGTCCACCACCATGAAACAATCTGCTCATGAGAACTCCCAATCTTCAATTCCATAGAATGCATGAATCACCCTATTTGATTCCACCTCCACCGCCCGAATGCCTAACACTTCTCTCATACACAATCCTCCCACGGGAAATACTTTGAAACTTCTTCCGTGCCATCTGGAAAAAATTTGAATATCAATAGTTGATCAACCAGGAGAGTGCCGCAATACTAGCGAAGTACCCATAAATCAAAACACACTGCCCCTTCTGAAATGTACACTCTCATCAAGCTATACCAGATAGTAATATCATTTACCTAGTCATCGGAAACCGTTCATGCTGCCTAAGAATTTATGTCCTTCCCTTCAAAACTGAACTATGACCTGGTACATGTAAATCCTATTCGCGCACAACACACCACATCTATTATGCCATCATGTGACAAGCATAAGAATTCCATTATCAACTCTGAGTCACTAGCAATTACATACCTTATTAGTCAGAAACCTCTTTCTTGCTTCTTTCTAGGAGAAAATCATAACACACAACACGCTCCGTACATCGGTAGAAATTATCCGGTTTAAACCATGGTAGAACCCATCATGAACACTTTGAAATCGATTTGTACATAATCAAGCTATCTGAACCGAATTCCTCTAACTTCACCAAGCCACACAGGTTGCCAAATCCGGGAGCATTTCCACGAAGCACCTGTAGATACTAGCCACGTCATAAGTACACAAATAACCGATCATACCCATTACTATGCTACCCCAACCTACTTCCAAACTGTCTTATTTCCCCAAGTCCTTTCCTAATTGCCTTCAAATTGCTATTTTATTTCCTTATTAGAACACTACTATCCTTAACTAAAACTTGCCCCGCGAACTCTAGCATAGAATCACACCGCCCTAAGGCTTATAAGCCGCCGAATTCCTTTTTTTGTTTTTTATTCCAAAGGTTCCACAACCAAAAATGCTTACTCCGAAGAGACTTTAGTGAATCTAAAACTGTTTCCTTCACCTTCTTGATACTGAAATGCATAATTCACAATGATATAA